ATCGCATTAAGTAAGTAATGTGGTATTTGTGCAAATAAAATCAATAAATTATGTTAACATGCTAATATTTACAAAGTTGTTATATTTATGTAATAAAAAAACAAATTGATTATACATGGTGCAATTTCCTCTACATTTTATTTATAGGTCCACTTCAGCCCAGTAGATCTACACAGTGGCTAGAATAAAATTTGAGCATTATTTTGGAGGAGAAGTACACAATTTATCTTCAAATCTACAAATTTTTTACTTTAATTACCAGTAGAGTAACTTTTATATTTTAGGTCTGGTTGATTTTTGGTTATTTTTATTATTATTTTTTTTTAAATTATATTATGTTTTGATTTATGTTATTTTTATTAATACTTTATATATGATTTTATTCAAAAATGTCGATTTTTCTTTTTTGCAAAATTTTCAAAAATGGTAGTAAACATATAAATAGCCTTTTTTTTTTTGTACGAGAAAAGTGGCTACACCGAGCCTAGCATATAAATAGCATTTTTGTCTTTTTTGGTACAGGAAAGGAAGCGAAACAACTATCGCTTGATCACGACCCGACGAAGGTAAGCCACCCCCGTAGCATCATGAGTTAACCATACACCTGCCCCCTCTGGAGGACGATCAAATCGGTGCAAACCCCCTGCTCCTCTAGCCGCCAGCGAGGCTAGAAAATCTGCACAAAATTAGTCTCTCGATGTCCATAGATAAGCTCAATCTCCCAGGCTCTACCCATCAGTTCCCGAATCCCATGAACAAGCATATAAATAGCCTTTGATGCATCGTTGCATGGAGTAGACGGCGTAATAATAGCTAAATAACATCAACATTCTCAATTTTGTTTACAAATTTGATTACAAATTAAAAGTGGAAAAAAAATATAAGTTTCTCAAAATGATACAAAAAGCACATTCCTAGTTTAAGTTGGTAAATATTTTGTAATTTAAAAATTGGTAACTTTTATCCTAATAGTAAATTACATCTCTCTCTTATATTGGTTTTTTCAAACTTTTTGTACTTTGTAATTCCATGTGTCGATTTATGGTGTTTCGTAATCATATGTAACCAATTTCTAGTGTTTTCGAGTAGACCACGTGGATTTGGATTTTTATCTATGTCCCTAGGGATTTATAAATGTATGAAACATTTTATTAACTTAAAATTATAAATACATTTTAAATTTCAGTAATATTTTTAATTGTTATCAATTAATTTTTTAAGATTTTCAATTTGACATCAATATTTTATATTATATAATTACATCTACATTTATAAGTAAATTATAAAATTACGTAAATAAAATTAATATCTTTATAATAATAATATTAATTATTAACTACATAAAACCTTTGTTACTAATTGAACTGTTGTACATGAATATATTCAAATTTGATTTCTATTTTGTCACCAACACCATCACAAATACATTCACATCACACAACTACCAAACTAATGATGTAGATGGAAGCCTGTGATGGGAAGAACATAGAACCAAAAACAACGAAGAACAGTTTTCTTTTCTTTTGTCAATTCGATAATAGCATAATTGCCATATATTAAAACACTCGTACGTTTTAATACTAATACAAAGTCTTAACCACCTAAACTTAAAAGCCCACATAATACAAACCCGACTCAACATAAATAATAATAATAATAATAATAATAATAATAATAATAATAATAATAATAATAATAAGAAGAAGAAGAAGAAACAGAATAGCGTTCAAACTAATTAGACGAGTCGATTATACATGTCGAGATACGATAATACAATCTTGTCGGCATCACATCACATCATTCTTATAGTGACACGTGTAGATGTAATTGCAAAAGAA